ACCTAGTGTCACGTGAAGTGCAGAGATGACTGCCTGTGTGTATCCATGGACTGTTTCCCTCACTCCATAGAAAATAATTGTGAGCTTAACGTCGCTGACGAAGACATGAATCCAGCGGCAATGAAATGGAGGTAAGGATGAAATTATTATGATTTGGTGAGAAGCTACACGGTGAAGGTGAGATAACATTGTACATTTAATTCCTTATTCATCTATTAATGAACTTTCGTAAATGAAGTAAGTATCCCAAGCTGTTCAAGTGTTCCAGTACTCCTTCAAAACAGTTTCTAAAAAAGTTATGTGAGCAACCTGTTATATTCCTGTAGAGTGGAGATAAATTCAGCGCGAAAGAGGATTGCTATGTTAATAGATGCTGCCTCTCTAATCCTTGTCTCAATGGAGGGGTTTATCAGGAGATTCTTTTTCCACTCCACTTATGAACATAAATATTCAATTTTCTCAGACCAGACAATAAAGTTGGTTTGGTTACCATAAACTTCCTCTGAAGACACCACGTTCCATTTGATTTCAAGAGATAGTCTTCTTGATCATATTTGCGTGTTTTTAATATTAACGGATGCTAGAGATAAATATGTAAATTTTTCATTACGAGGCATGTGCTACCCATACATGTTTCAAAAGCTGAAATGAAAAGTGATAATAGCTTATGAAGTTCGGATGATGTTCTAGGTTTTGGCAAATCCACGACATTTCCATTTATCCGTAAAAATTTAAAAATTGAGAGGAAAAGTTTTGATAAATAACAAGAGAACATTATGGGATGGAGAAGGAGGCTCCTTGTCCAGGCCGTGGGAAATGTCAAATTCACTTACAATACAATGAATAGACAGTCTCTCGAACGGAAGTATTATTCCCAAGACGAATACTGCTTGGAATGGCTACCTATTAATGAATATATTTTCTCTTATTTAATTTAGGGTGCATTTGCCTCGTATTGATTAAAAGTTATTTACTGCATCATGATTATACCTCAGAAGGCAAAAAGTAGACGCTAAAAACCAGAGAAAAAGAATGAGGCCGTCCAACAGCAAAATTTGAACTATTATTAGGAAGCATTTCTTCGAAAAGGTTTTTAGCTTTGTTTTTCCCCGGTGAGTCTTTCAAAACCTCATTTTCACCTGTGTGTCTCTAGGCAATTGCTGCATGAATCTTGGTTATTTGAAAATTTACCTCAATGTCTTTTAAGTTACGAGGCACAGTTTGTTTTGATTTCTGTGGGAACACGGCAGCTGGCATTTCAATAATATAGGCACAACAGTACAGTCTGCATTTGAAGAACTTCAAATGCCATAAAAACAAAAACCCATACAAGATGAACATATTTTCATAATATTACGAATATCTAGCTTTGCATTTATGTAAACTTTTGCTCGGTCCTTGTAAAGGTGGCTTGTATAGGGATATTTCTTCGAAGAACACCATGTTTTGTACAGTTACCTTGATTTGTTTAGTATGGACCAAAGTTTATTAATAACACATTTAGTTATTCGAATAGTATCCTGAAGTGACCTACTCTATAAAAAACAGTATCTATTTTATCATTAAAACCAAATAAAACAGGCTATAGTAAATTCTAGACTTTTAATTTCCAGCACGTTTATGTACGTAGCTCTTCTTCGTTACTTGTAAAAAAAAAAATACGCTCTTCATTTCTCCGAATGAGGCTCAAAATGTATTTTTCTTCGAAAAACGGAGCTGAAATCGACCAATTCAAAATTTAGCCCAAAAATTACAATTTTCGAAACATTTAACGTCAATAGTCACCGGAACAAAGGGTTGCTAAATGTTCCCCAATGGAACACGACGAGAGCTCATAATATTTTGAAAAACATTGCGATTCTCTTTTAAAACATCCTATAAGGCTGTAGTCATGAACGTAAGTAATTCATTTTAGTTTTCCCCACACGCGTAAATAGTGCTTTTCGTACACGTTGATTGGCTAGGTAGGAAGTGATAAATCAGCTCCACTCAGCCGTAGAGACAAATATCACGTCGAGAGTTTAATTTCAGACTCCTCTTCAGTTTATTGACTGAAACAAATAACTTTGTTTTTTTTTTCTGTCAGGCATATACTAAAATAATTGTTTACCTGGTGTGAGTGTCGGTGAAAATAATAGAGATAATCTCCATCAATATCCACCTCCGACTTTGGTAAATAATTATAAACTACCCCTACAGAGAGAACTTTCCAGTGAGTATAAATGGTTATTTTGCTTACTCAAGTTTATGTGCTTTTTTAAGTCTACGGATATTATAAGAGTTTGTTAGGTTTGTTTGATTTGTAGCCGACTGGTGTGTACTTGATACTTTTTCTTAAAACTAGAAAAGAAACCAGCCATAAGTTTGAGCCATTAGCAGGTGTGGCAAGAATTGACATATTTTCATTAGCCGATGGAAAGAAAGCTTACATTAATACGTTCATCAATGTTTCAAATATTGTGGTAAACAATAAATTGCGATCCGCTTTAAATATTAATGTAGGAAAAATACATTGCAAATCATTCTTAGAGAATATTCCGTCGAGGATACATACTCATTAAGTGCATTGTTTAAAAAGGATCTTTTAACAATTGATGGTAGGTAGAGTTTCTCTTTTTGTGGTTTGTAACACAAAACCTTCTGACATCTCTCCTTAATTTCAAACGCTTTTTCTTAATTAACGGTCACACACGAAAGTCTTGAAAGTTTTACATTTCAAGAAAAACTCCTCAAACTTAGGCGATTTTTTTTAATACATGAACGTCAAACAGAAACATGCTATCATGAAACACTTTTTGATAACCTTCATCGCAGCGGCTGTTTAACTGAGATTTGACATACTTCGGCCTTAGCATTGCATTCAACTAATTGTAACCGACATACTTTTAATCGGCAGTTACTGCAGTAGAGCAATTGAAACTGGTGCGTTTATTTTTCATATCAATTCCATTTGCCAATCTTAAAATGAAATCAAGACTGAATAGTCCAGAATATCTCCCTTTATTGCAACCTACGCGGTGAAGAGAAATCAGCTTGGTATTTAAACTGAGTGGTTAGCTTAAGCTAAACTGCCGTGCATTTTTACAGCTTATTTTGTGGAGCATTCCTAACATAAACTGTTCAGGAGCAATTTCTTTTGTGCTTCAGTTTTTGTCTAACATATTTTCGGATTACGGCAGATTGGTGATTCTGTACAGCGAGACAACTACACTCCTCACTGTCTTCTAAAACGTTTACTGACTTATAAGAAGGTCTCACCATGGTAATGGCTCTTACGGCTAACGATTAAAATTTTGGCTCATCGCAGCGGCTGTTTCACTGAGATTTGATATACTTCGACATTTAGCTTTGTATTCAACCAACTGGGACCGACATACTTTTAATCAGCAATTACTGGTTCGTGTATTTTTTTTATATCAGTTCCATTGGCAAATATATCTCCCTCCATTTCAACCTGAGCAATGAAGAGAAATCAGCTTAGCATTTGAGCTGACAATCAATTCTTTATAAACTGTGTTCAGCTTATGCTAAACTGCTTGGAACGTTTACTGCTCCTTTTGAAGAGTATTCCTAACAGAAACCGTCGAGGAGCAATTTCGTTTGGGCTTGAATGTTTGCCCGGTCTCCTTTTCAAAATTCCGCAAATAAGTGATTCTGTAGTGAAGATCGACTTCCCAGCGAGACGAATAAATTCTTTTCAGTCTTTCAAAACGTTTACTGACTCAGAAGGTCTCAATATGGTAATGGCTCTTACGGCTAACGACTAAAATTTTGGCAATTTTACTGCTAACGATTATTTTCTTTGCGTTGCAATTAAAATAAATGTTACGGTTCATGCTTTAAGGAAAATAATTTCATAGTTAATTTTGAAAAATCCATCAATGTTGGTCGCTTTTAAGCAAGAAACCCAAATATCTATTTATTTCGTTCCAGATTACTCCAGATTAAATAATCATGTATATTTTTTTCTTCACATCAATAGTGCCATTGCTATGGGCATCGTACAATATCTCCAAGTCGTGCTGTTTGTATTCAGTTTGACCCTCTCCACTGAGGCACAGGAAAAAGTTACTTGTCAAAACTTTAAGTTTGCTATCGATCGCGATGTCATCCATAACCAAATTCTTGAGGGTCACGTGTTTGAAAGATTGACAGTTCCAAACGCCATTGAGTGTTACTTGAAGTGCAAAGATGACTGCTTGTGTGTATCCATGAATTATTTCCCTCTGTCCTAAGAAAACAATTGTGAGCTAAACGACGCTAACAAAGACATGGAGCCAGCGGCGATGAAAAGGAGGCAAGGGGGAAATTATTATGATTTGGTGAGAAGCTACACGGTGAAGGTGAGATAAGATTATTTATTTAATTCCTTACTCATTTATTTATCAACTTCCGTAAACAAAGTAAATATCCCAATATGTTCAAGTTCGTAAATAAAATAAGTATTTCCACACGATCAAGTTTTGCGGTACTCCTTAAAAAAAAGATGTGTTATATGTCAGTCCGAGCCAAAGACAATTTTGTGCATGCCGTTTTGTCTGCGATATGATTGGTCTAGACAAAACCAAAACAAACTGATTTGGCTGAGAGAGGATTGGATCCGTTCCCTTTCTCACAAACTATTTTCTTAACGGCCATGTCGTAATGCGAAGGGAACGGCAGGACAGACATGACTACAAATTTCATAAAGACATCATTGGCTTACCCATTGCTGTATTACTGCATTTCAAATCTACTTTGCAATGGAAATTTCATCTCCATTCTGGCACCCCGTTATGTGTTGTACGCACACGTACTTTGCTCGCACTGTTTGTTATCGATTCGATCACATTCCGGTGAGATTTTTCGATGGGTGCTAAAAAGTATATGCCAACCCAATGGCCCTTATCGGAGTTGAGCACGCCACCCAAACAATCCAGCGGTATTCTTGTGAGTAAACATCAAAGCGAGGCTATCGGGTCAACATCGATCAGATTTGTGTGAGAAAGTGAGGAAAACTTATGGAGTGTTCCACAAATCTTCTACAAGCGGCCTTTTTTTCCGCTGAGGAGAAAGTGCAGTTGATAAGTGGTAATTGCCCACGGCATATTACTAAAGAAAGACTCAAAGAGTGGTTGTCATTCCACAAAGGGACGGCTAAAGATGGTAGTGCACGGTCTGAAGCAACGAAGGCTGAGTTAACTCAAAGGTACACAGATTGCAATATTTTTTGTCCCTTATAATTATTGCCATTGCTTGAAGGGAATATCGAAGCATAAGTTCTATATCGATTTGTTTTACCTGCCGCAGGGTCATCAGTTATAAAAAAAATGGTTGGGAGAATAATTTTACGGAGAAGTGGCAACACTTGGCGCCAAGTAAACCACTGGAGCAAACGGCGACCGTCAATTGTGATTTCCCTGGATCTGCACAATGGGTTTCGCTGGTTGACGCGAAGGACGATGTCCCTTCATTTAATATTCAGAATATCGTGTCTTACTTTATTGAAAGAAAAGCTAAAGACAATGAATCCAACAAAGATTTCAAGAATGTCAGCAGCGAAGCTTTCGGTTTGTTTCGACATGGTCATATCCAAAAACTGGAAATCGCACGGGACGGTGTTTTCAATGTTTATCGGTTCGGGGGCTGAATGCTGCTGCGATTTCTCTATTTTTGTTTTCTTTGTGTTCAACGTTGCTCGATCAGCGGGCTCTTTCCTCTTTGGTTTTTCAACAGTAAATATAAACTTTGTCGGTACGGAATCTGGCTTCACGCGAATTCTTTGTCCTCCCATTGGTTTTATGAAGCAATTAGCTTTAAAATGCTGACTACAGACATAAGAGTTTTTGTTTACCGGAGTGTTCTCTCGACGCAGTTTCACAAGCCATTGTGCCAGCAAATTCTTGTTTGACAGCGGCAGCGAATGCCATGATAAGTCCTTGCATTCCGCTTTGGAACTTCGGTTTTGACACCCAAAAGCTATGCAATGTTTCACCATGGATAAAGAAACTAAAAACTCGAGAAAATATTATGTAAATACTAAGCTACTACTAATTTCCCTCTCTGCTTCCTTGTACTTTAGAGCGAGCTAGACCCGATAGCCTCGTTTTGGGGTAAGCTCATCCGGAGACCGCTGATTTCGCGTGCTCAACTCCGATAAGAGCTATTCTATGAGCATGCTGAGCTAAAACATCCTTTGAATGTTGCTGTAGGGCGGAGGCAAATACGCACCAGAGAAGCATCATTGCATCAACAGATGCTGCCGCACCAATCCTTGTCTCAATGGAGGAGTATGTCAGGAGATTTGTGACACTCATAGCACCAGGTTTAACTGTACCTGTCCTAACACATACTCTGGTCAGCGGTGTGAGAAGATGAAACATCCGAGAAGCTGCAAAGACATAGCTAAGAACGGTGCCTCGACATCAGGAAAATACGACATCTACGATTCAAGCAATGAACGGTTTTCTGTTTACTGTGACTTGCAGTCTGAACCTGACTTTGTATGGACGTTAATACAATCGTTATCCTTGTCCAAGAGAAACGCCTTCAATTATACTGGGTTTGGCAAAAACTTTGAGATTGATATTGAAGTGGGGGAAGTTAATTGGAACGAGTTCCGACTATCCTTATCACAGATGCAGTATCTTGCTAATCACTCCACACATCTGAGAGCAACTTGTAACTTTTCTACGGATGGTCTGCAGTATACGGACTACGCACGCGCTAAGCTGGCAGGTCATGACATTTTTGGCACCTGGAACACCTGCAAGATGTACGAATATGTCAATATCCGAGGAATCAATTGTTCTGATTGCACCGCCCTGACAAAACAGCAGGAAGATGTGTCCTGGCACATAAGGAGTTACAATAGCACACAATTCGGATGTGAATTTAGTGGAAAACCAGGTGGAGTCCCCGATGAAAAAAATTTCGGAAAATTTCACAACAAGTATATAAATCCGGATCACCGCTGCTCGTTTTCACCTGCTTCTACAACGCAGCATTGGTTTGGAGCTAAATGTGACGTGTAACTTTTTGCGAATTCATTTCCTTTCATAGAAAAGGAAACACAGCCAACTGAAAGCAAGAAAACATCGGAGCAAGGCTAACAACTAACAATGACATCATGTGCCTCCAAGTTTGGCCCATTTAGGAGCTGAACTTGAACTAAACGTTTAATATCTCAGATAGTTACACTGATCTTTATCACAGAAGAATGTAGACATGCACAAGAGCGACGTCATAAGCAACCTTAGATACGTAGCGTCCATATTTGAATAGTTGAAATAAGTAGGCGGTCTCTGTACAAACACTTTTTACCTGCACATTCATCTTTTCATGTAATGTTCAATAGATAGTACACTTACATCTTAAAAGCCAAAGGTCGATAAAATTGGCCTTTTTTCGTATTCGTCTTTGAAAACGCATTCAGAGCTCACCATTAGCTAATTCATGCGAATTATTTTCAAGCAAGTGACTAATCGTAAGTTAAAATGCTTGTGTCTAGATTCAGAGATGTTTAAATAACTCTGTACGCTATTAATCTAATTATGACATGTTTTGTCGTCGTAGGGCGATATTTTCTTGACTCAGTCACTCAACCGTTTTCTCTTTACTGATAATTGAAAATTAGCTTCGGCTTCGTTAGTTTGATCATTAGTAAAACCAAGCTTTAAGTTTAGGTTTCTTGATTTCGCTTTAAAAAATCCGCACAGTTAGGAGAAATGGTATTTACTTAGTGGCAGGGAGATGTTAGCAATTTCTCCTAAGTGATAAATATGTACAGCTTTGCTTAATTTTAATATTAGGGACTCGATGCATAACTGTGAGAAGCCCTCAACAGCCTCTCTTTCACTAGGACTAAGGTACTTAAATGCTTCGTTAGGATCACTGCTTACTTTATAACATTGCAAATTTGTTCATAAAACAAGTTTTGAAATGTTCAAAATGTAGGAGATGAAGTAGGTATAGTAGTTGGATCAGATGTTTGTCAAGAAAAGCACCAGTGAAGTGTAAAGGTCATTTAGGATTGTTGTACATAATGTGAGACATCATCTTATTATAGCATCATTCCAGACTTTTCCTTAAAGCTTGTGGATTTACAGCGACATTAGACTGTTGGACGCGCTGGCAATACATTATTAAATACAAATCCAAGTGACGATGAAGTTATATTCTAGTTATAAAGTTCATTATTTGAAATCTACGTTTCCGAAGTTTGAAACGTTCAATGATAAAATTGACGATTTTAGAAGCTTTTAAAGTTATGCCATTTGCCCTCAAAATTGGTATTCGAATTGCGCGAAAAAACCGCTGACGTCACTTTGGTAACATAAAATCGAATTCAGTATGGCGAATAGTACGAAAGATACGCGGCAACGAGGGCGATATTGTGTTGCTGGTGCCCCGGCTCTGATCAGCAAAGCTCTCAGAATATATCGTTCCGCCACCGGGCATAGAATGTTTCAGTTCCCGAACGATCCCGACTGTGAGAGGAAAATGGGTGAAATTTGTCCGCAGACAAAGACACGATCTTAACGATCCAACTTGGCCGTAAACGTCGCTTTGTTGGGCAAATTTTGAAGAATTATGCTATGAGTGAAACTTGTCCATATTAAACAGCATGATGAAGGCCCAAGAGATGAAGATGAGGCCCTTTTGAGAAACGACACTGTGCCAACCAGGGACACTAGTTTTGTGTTTCTGTTCCATTTCCTTAAATTGTTTTTCTATTTTTTCTCTTTGCATACTAATACTGCATAGAAAAGTCATTCCAAAAATTCAGCTCCTTTAATGTACAAATAACTTAAAAGAAACCCAGTTGAAATATCATCAAAGGTGGCGGATGCAAAAGTAAGGATAAGTGAGGTAATTTCCAATTGGACATACCATATTATATCTGTATCGCCATATACACTGTACCTTAGATTCGCATTTTAATCTCGGTCAATTTATTTATATCAGATATTTAACCTGTCATCGAGATATTCGACCCCGGAGAACGATGGCCCCTTTGTCAATAAGTATTACGTAATCGCTTTCGCGTCAAAATAAGGGAACACTTTAAGGCGCTGGTTAAGATCTTGCCGAACGTCTTAAGTGCCGTTTATACCGCGTTCCACCATAGTACGATCACGTACCTATTCATGATTTTTTGCCTTTTCCCTACGTGTACTCTGATTGCTACGAACTCATTTTTAAATGTCTTAGTATAATTATTAAGATATCCAACTAATTTGTAGGTTTTTAAGGTCCACCATGAGTGTTCTTCGCTATCTACGCGCGATGTTGTTGGTATCTCAGCTCACTCAGACCAATAAGGCGCAGCCAACAGTAAATTGTCAAAACTCATAATCACATTCTTGAGGGTCACGTGTTTCAAAGATTGACAGTCCACAGCGCCACCCAGTGTCACGTGAAGTGCTAAGATGACTGCCTGTGGGTATCCATGAATTATTTCCCTCTGTTCAAAGAAAATAACTGTGAGCTCAACGACGCTAACAAAGACGCAGAAAAAGCCGCAATGATATGGAGGAAATTATTATGATTTGGTGAGAAGCTAGACGGTGAAGGAGAGAGATAGAATCGTTTGCTGTTGATAGAATTGCCTTATTTATTTATTTTTTTGTTACTTACATTTTTATCACAACATAGCGCGCGCGCAAGGCCTACCTATATCCTAAGGGAGCTACCATGATAAAAATCATTATTTATCATATAAACTACGATGTTATACAAGGATCTGCAGCTCTGACAAAAGCCGTAAGAACACACGTGAAAGAATACGATATTTTTTCGCGTGTGTTTGATAACGCCAATCAGCTGCTGACACATCACTCGCTTTTCGCGTCACTCGGCCAGGTTGATAAATGAACGGCAAAGCCTTCAACATTCTCAATACAAGGTAGTTTGTCCGCGGAACTTTCTCGGATTATGGCGGCTAAAACATTTAAAAATTTCGTACCGCTTACAGGGAGTGACGTTCAAACTTTCCTAGAAGGGAAAGAAAACCAATATATGAAAAGAAAAACCCAAAGTTACGTATTCAGTGACTTTGGTAATGGCCTTTGTCGTGGCTGAGAACGGAAATCGACTACTGGAAGATTTGTCACAGGCCGATTTTGGCTGTTTACTTGAAAGACTTCTTCTGTCGGTAAGTAAAAAGTCAATAAATGAGAATTTTGTAAATTTAAAATTCCGCCCATTGTTGTTTTTGTAATCATGATTCAAAGCATTTTTCCATCTTGAGCCTTAGCGCCAACGCACTGTACGATTGTCGATTCTTCAATTTATTTTCTTTCATTATTGACGTCAGCTTTTCTTGTCACTAATGCGCTTTTGTGTTTATATGATAAACAAAATAATACAAGGTCGCTTTTTGAGTGTTCAACTCGACATTTCATATCTACGCGCGCCCATGCATTATTTTCTAAAAATAGTGCACGTCTGTGCATTCATAACAAGACTTGTGCAGTATCACTTCGGCTAAAAGTCCTGTCGAGTTTAGCGGCGAGAATTCAAAACTATCAGTTAAGACTATCTTTCCGTTCTATCCCTATTTAGATAGACCTTTGTAGCTCAAAATGAAAACAAAATATGCTGAATAAGACTGGTTTCGAGAAACAATGAGCATTTCTTTTTCTCTTCAAGCGACGAAATTAGTTTCGGAGTTGACAATACTTTATTCACAATCGCGATGAGAATTATGGCTGAAAACAGAACTAAGTATTATGACTTCAACTGAGGCTTTGCGACGCTGGGGACTCTTCATTACAACGGAAAATATTATTTTGAAGTGTTGTTATGTACCCAAAGTTTTGTTCAACAGAAGATTTTGTTTTGAAATCGTACAATTTTCAGAATTTTTAACTCAAAGTTAAAAAATATTCAGGTTGCAAATTTTGGTAAACAACAATTCGAGCAGCGTAAATCTATCACAAGTGTCTCGTAGATGCGAGAGATTTGTAAGTTTTTGCTCAGCTTTTTGAATAGTTGATATCAGTTTTGAGGGCTCATTTATATCCTAAAAGTATTGTTAAATAGCAGATTTTAATTTTAAAAACCTTACAATTATTTCAGAATTTTCAAAATCTTCAACATAAACCTACGCAATTTCTGGCCTTGAATTCTAGTAAACAACGATTCAAGCATATTGAATCTACTACGCGCTATCGTAAATGCAAGAAATTCGTTCGTTTTTTGCCTCTGAGCAGAAAATGTTCAATTCTTTGAATAAAGATTTGGTCTGAATAATAATATAACATAACATGGTTCGAAATTAAATTAAAAAGCCTAAAAAAAATTGAAATATGTTATCTTCTGGAGTTAGAACAACCAAGGGTAAAGACCAGCTAGGGTCTTAGTTGCTATTCAACTACATTGCATAGCTTAAGACGAGGACTGAATTGCATAGTTGCATTAAGTTTGTTTGTATAGGATTTGATAGCTATAGGAAGGGGCATCATCACATTTTATTTAATCGCCTGAATGCTGTTTCATCAATTTACATACCCTCAGGCATTACTTTGTTATTTTTATTTAGAGAGAAAGAGACATTTGTGGTAAAATAACTCGAAAACCGATCTCTTCTGCAGCCTTGTAGATAAATCTCAGGAGTCAGCAGGATGATAGAAGTCCACTGTCATAAATTTGCACAAAGAAATCTTCACATCTTTGAAGTCGAAAACGACTCACTTTGTATCTGTTGTCAAGAGGAAGAGTTTACCATGTACCTGGTCGAAGGATTTGAAAAGTGGTTTAATGATAAAAATGCCCTCTCTTTCTCACCAACCGGCTTCAGTCAAAATTGTCATTTAGGAAAGTCCCTTTTGAGACTGATCTAATTACAAAAACTTCGAATTTCTCCTTCTTCTTTGGCTAATTACTATCAAGCTTGACCGTCCAGTTTTGTGTAACATTAGTGTACAGGTTTGCTTGTGAATATTATGAAAATAAAGGAAACTTCATATAACCAAACTATAAAGGATTACTCAGTTATTAGATGATTTCGAAATTTTTACTTTGTTATTGTGAGTTTGTTTGTTTTGTTTTTGTTAAAGCTTGAAGTTATAGGAAGTTATTTTATTATTTCTTTTGTATTTTTAGGATAAAATAAGTTGCCATCCGCAACCGAGTGTAAAATGGTAGCTTATCTAAGATAATTATAATTTTTATTGGGGAAACCAGAAGGCCCCCTTTAAGCTAAAAAAATAATGACACAATCTCTATCGTTTTCTGTTAATGAAGCGGCTACATCCCTCACCGACAAAACATTGATCTAATTCAACTATTTACGATTATTTCTGGCTTCTAAATCAAGCATACTTAATTAATAAGTTAAAGAGAAGCAACGAAAACTTAAAATTTAACGACGTAACATTTGTGAAGGTTTTTCATTGCAAAATGATCTCATTACATTAATTTCCATAACAAATTACGATGTTTGATTTACAGTACTTGTGTTTATTTTGAATTTCTGCCATATACAGATTCTTTTTCATGAAGTTTTTCAAACGAGTAAGTACTGTTTATTATCGGTTTGGCACGGACGATCATTTTACGGCCTGGGTGCGTGTCTTCCGTCTGGGGTGGATGACTGCAGAAAAAAAAAAGACATCAACAATAATGCCTGGAGAAACAATAAAATTGCTTCGGGTTGTATTCTTTTTCAGCGTTATTATTATTACTTCTAGTTTTGATCCCTAGTAGACTCCTCAATGGTGAAGTCTGACCTTAATCTCTCCTTCTCTAGTTGACGCTTTTAAACTGTGAATGAATGGCATGCGTTCTTGGATAATTCATATCATTCGGCTCTTGTTCAAAATTTACATCATGTGAAGAAGTATCAATGATAACAAGTGTCTAATATTATCATCTATGTTCCTTATTTGCACCTCTTTCTAGAGAAGGGTCAGCGTTTGAGAAAGATTTTGTGATATTTTATCATTTTTTCATGCAAATTTTTAAATTTAAGAGTGAAACTTTACACATCGTTGGGCCATTGAAACTTCGAATGAAATGTCCGTGGCAAAGTGTGTTGATTAAAACAAGTTGGACAAATAACAACCGGGTCAATTATTCGTTCTTGCTTGAAAATATCGATAAGTTGAGTGCGTAACGAACGTAAAACTTTCCATCACTTATCAATTACAAGGCGGAAAAATAGCCTCGGGGGCCCATTTCCACATGCAAGCTTGCGTTCTGGGCGTTAACTTATCTTAGGTTTTTCCAAGCAGCAGTTAACTGATGCAACAATCATGTTAGTGTATTCACCTCGGGTTAACTCGAACTGGCACGTTAATGACTTCAACAGCTTTCCCTGGTTAAACTCTGATTCATGGCCAAGAGATAATTGTGTAGATAATTATGACAATTACAGATAACTAGGGAGCTATGCGCCTTATTTTGCTACCATTCGTTTGTTACATGTGATGTGTAAGGATGACTGCTTGTTTATATAGTTATATTTCCCTCGGTTCAAATCAAGCAACTGAGAGCTCAATGATGCCAATCAAGATATGAAGCCATTAGGGATGAAATTAAGAGAAGGAAGAAATTACCATAATCAGGTGAGGAGCTACACTGTGCCAAAGATGTGGTAAACTTAAGTTGTTTAGTCTATTTTATTCAATTTACTAGGCAGACGAATATCCTAAAGTGATCTAATCTGTCAAAAGTGGAATGCCTATCATGAAAACCAAATAAAACAGGCTACCGTAAATTTCTGCTCCTCGCTTTCAAGCTCTTTTATGTTGGTAGCTTTTCTTCTTAACTCGTCAAAATATCGGTTCTCTCAGCAAAATGAGGCCAAAATTGACGCCCTTTTACAATTAATTTTAAAAATTAAAAAGTTTCGGAACATTACACATTAATGGTCACCGCGACAGAAGGGCTGCCATGTTCGACATTCGAACTTGACGGGGGGTCTTAATATTTTGAAAAACATCGCGATTCTTATTTAAAACATCTTATAAAGCTGCACTTATGAACCTAAATAATTCATTTTAGTTTTTCTAGATTTTTGGTTTATTGACAGCAATATATAAATTTTTTCCACTTCGGTAAATAATTACTAACTGGCTCTACAGACAGAACTTATGTGTTTTTACAGTCTACGGATACAACATAAGATCAGAGTTTGTTAGCTGACTGGTCTGTATTCTATTCCTTGTATTAAAGCTGGAAAAGAAACCAACCATACGGTTGCGAAATTTATAGGTGTGGTGAAACTCGAGATATTATCATTAATCGATGGAAGGAAAGCTTACTTTAAGAGCTTTCATTAATATTTTATATCCTATACTCCTATGGTAAAAAAATAAAATGGGACCCTTTTTAAATATGTAAGTGTGAATAATACATTCAAAATCGTTCTTACAGTTGACTTTGTAGAGCACAGAGATTCATAAGTACATCGCTGAAAGAGGATCTTTTAACAACTGATGGTGGGTAGAGTTTCCCTTTTTTGGTTTTGTAACACAAAACGTTCTGAGACGTCTCTTATTTTCAAAACGCTTTTTTTTAATAAATGACACACACGAAACTTTTGAAATTCTACGTTTCAAGAAACACTCCTTAAACTTGGACGATTTGATACATGAACGTCAGTCTTTGATAAAGTTCATCACAGCGGCTGTTTCACTGAGATTTCATATACTTCGACATTTAGCTTTGCACTCAACTAACTGTAACCGACATACTTTTAATCAGCAATTACTGGTTGGTGTATTTTTTTATATCAGTTCCATTTGCCAATATATCTCCCTCCATTGCAACCTGGGCAATGAAGAGAAATAAGCTTAGCATTTGAGCATACAATCAATTCTTTATAAACTGTGTTCAGCTTAGGCTAAACCGCAGAGAACGTTTACGGCTCCTTTTGTAGAGCATTCCCAACAAAAATCGTCGAGGAGCAATTTCGTTTGGGCTTGAATGTTTGCTTAGTCTTCTTTAAAAATTCCGCAAATAAGTGATTCTGTAGTGAAGATCGACTTCACAGCGAGAGGAATACACTCTTAACAGTCTTTGAAAACGTTTACTGACTCAGAAGAAGGTGTCAATATGGTAATGGCTCTTACGGCTAACGACTAAAATTTTGGCAATTTTACTGCTAACGATTCTTTTCTTTCCGTTGCAATTAAGATAAATGTTACAGTTCATGCTTTAAGAAAAACAATTTCGTAGTTAATTTAAAAAAATCCATCAATGAAGGTCGCTTTTAAGCAAGAGGCCCAAATATCGGTGTTTTTCGTTCCAGATTACCCCATGCTCGTCAGATGAAATAATCATGCATCTTTTTTTTCTTCACATTAGTAGTGCTATTGCTATGGGCATCGTACAATATCTCCAAGTCGTGCTGTTTGTATTCAATTTGACCCTCTCCACTGAGGCACAGAAAAAAGTAACTTGTCAAAACTTCAAGTTTGCTATCGATGACGATGTCATCCATAACCAAATTCTTGAGGGTCACTCGTTTAAAAGACTGACAGTCCCAAACGCCATCCAGTGTCACTTGAAGTGCAAAAATGACTGCCTGTGTGTATCCATGAATTAATTCCCTCTGTCCAAAGAAAACAATTGTGAGCTCAACGAAGCTAATAAAGACATGGAGCCAGCGGCGATGAAATGGAGGCAAGGGGGAAACTATTATGATTTGGTGAGAAGCTACACGGTGAAGGTGAGATAAGATTATTTATCTAATGTTTTACTCATTGATTTATGAACTTTCGTAAACAAAGTAAATATCCCAAGATGTTCAAGTTCGTAAATAAAATAAATATTTCCACATGATCAAGTTTTGCGGTACTCCTTAAAAAAAAGGTCTGTTATGTGTCGGTCTGGGCTAAAGACAATTTTGTGCATATCGTTTTGTCTGCGATATGATTGGTCTAGACAAAACCAAAACAAAACGATTTGGCTAAGAGAGGATTGGGTTCATTGTCTTTCTCGCAAACTTTTTTCTTAACGGCCATGTTGTAATGCTAAGGGAACGGCAGAACAGAAGCGACTACAAATTTCATAAAGACATCACTGACTTAACCATTGCTGTATTACTGCATTTCAAATCTAATTTTGAGGGACATTTCATCTCCATTCTGGCACCCCGCTATGTGTTGCACGCATACGTACTTTTCTCGCACTGTTTGTTATCAATTCGATCCGATTCCGGTGAGATTTGTCGATGGTTGCTAAAAAGTACATGCCAACCCAATTCGATGAGCATGGTGAGCTAAAAAATTATTTTAATCTTGCTGTAGGGTGGAGACAGATACACACCAGAGAAGCATCACTGCATCAACAGATGCTGCCGCACCAATCCTTGTCTCAATGGAGGGGTATGTCAGGAGATTTGTGACACTCACAGCACCAGGTTTAACTGTACCTGTCCTAACACATACTCTGGTCAGCGGTGTGAGAAGAAGATGAAACATCCGAGAAGCTGTAAAGACATAGCTAAGAACGGTACCTCGACATCAGGAAAATACGACATCTCAAATTCAGACAATGAACGGTTTTCTGTTTACTGTGACTTGCAGTCTGAACCTGGCTTTGTATGGACATTAATACAATCGTTTTCCTTTTCCAAGAAAAATGCCTTCAATTATGCAGGGTTTGGCAAAAACCTTGAGATTGATATTGAAGAGGGGGAAGTAAATTGGAACGAGTTCCGATTATCCTTATCACAGATGCAGTATCTTGCTAATCACTCCACGCATCTGAGAGCAACTTGTAACTTTTCTACGGATGGTCTGCAGTATACGGACTACGCACGCGCTAAGCTGGCAGGTCATGACATTTTTGGTACCTGGGACACCTGCCAGATGTACGAATATGTCAATATCCGAGGAATCTATTGTTCTAATTGCACCGCCCGCACAAAACAGCAGGAAGATAAGTCCTGGCACATAAAGAGTTACGATAGCATAAAAAAGGGATGTGAATTTGATGGAAAACCAGGTGGAGTCTCCGGTGAAAAAAATTTCGGAAAATTTGACGAAAATTTCATAAATCCGGATCACCGCTGCTCGTTTTCTCCTGCTTCTACAACGCAGCATTGGTTTGGAGCTAAATATGACGAGTAACTTTTTGCGAATTTATTTCCTTTCACAGAAGAGGAAAGACAGAGGATTCACAGAAGTGAAAGGTCGATAAAACTGGCCTTTTTTTATATTCGTCTTTGAAAACACATTCAGAGCTCACCATTAGTTGATTGATGCAAATTATTTTCAAGCAAGTGACTAATCGTAAGTTGAAATGCTTGTGTTTAGATTCAGAGATGTTTAAATACCTCCGTAAGCTATTAATTTAATAATGACATGTTTTCTCGTCGTAGGGCGACATTTTCTTGACTCGGTCAATCAACCTTTTTCTCTTAACTTTTACTTTACTTTTCTTTTTTTCGAAAATTAGCTTCGGCTTCGTTAGTTTGATCATTTGTAAAACCAAGCTTTAAGTTTAGGTTTCTTGATTTCGCTTTAAAAATCCGTACAGTGAGGAGAAATGGTATTTACTTAGTGGCAATGATATTAGTAATTTCTCCTTGGTGATAAATATGTACAGCTTTGCTTGATTTTAATATTAGGGACTCGATACATAACTGTGAGAAGCCCTCAACAGCCTCTCTTTGACAAGGACTAAGGTACTTAAGTGCTTCGTTAGGATCACTGCTTACTTTATAACATTGCACATTTGTTCTTAGAACAATTTTTGAAATGTTTAAAATGTAGGAGATGAAGTAGGTATAGTTGTCGGAGCATGTGTTTGTCAAGAGAAGCACCAGTGAAGTGTAAACGTCATTCAGGATTGTTGTACATAATGTGAGACATCATCTTATTTTCCCCTCAAAAAAGGCATTCGAATTGCGCGGCCAAAGTACCATTTGACAAAAAACCGCTGACGTCACTTTGGTAACATAAAATCGAATTCAGTCGAATTGGGCAACGAGGGCGATATTGTGTTGCTGGTGCCCCGGCTCTGACCAGCAAAGCTGTCAGAATAGATCGTTCCAGCACCGGGCATAGAATGTTTCAGTTCCCGAACGATCCACATTGTGAGAGAAAAATGGGTGAAATTTGTCTGCAGACAAAGACACGATCGTAACGATCCAACTTGGCCGTAAACGTCGCTTTGTTGGGCAAATTATAAAGAATTATGCTATGAGCAAAACTTGTCCATATTAAACAGCATGATGGAGGCCCAAGGGATGAAGATGAAGTGCTTTTTGAGAAACGACACTGTGTCAACCAGGGACACTAGTTTTGTGCGTGGTGTAAATTAAGTTTGAGGGTTTCTGTAACGTTTCCTTAAATTGTTTTTCTATTTTTTCTCTTTGCGTACTGATACTGCTTAAAAAAGTCATTCCAAACATTCAGCTCCTTTAATATACAAATAACCTAAAAGAAACCCAGTTGAAATATCATTAAAGGCGGCGGATACAAAAGTAAGGAGGTTGAGTGACGTAATTTCCAATGGGACTGTTTGTCAGTTTTTGAACCTTTGCATTTGTGGACTCCTTCATAGAGAGTTCAGCCAAAAATAAAGAGCTGGAGCCGGATCGACCATCATTCATAATTCGTGTTCAACTACCTCTTTTAACTGTAACAAAGTCAATTCCTCTATGGAAACGAAGGAAAATTTTCAATAGCGAGAGAATGAGTTTTGTCACCTAGCTGTAAGTACCTATATTTCTGAATGAAAGACAATTTAAAGATTAAAAGGCTATTGGCGATCTCCTTTGTCTGTCTCTGGTCTCTACCGCTTCTTGTTGTGAAATTACTTTTTTTTTTTTGTGATCACTATTCTAAAGATAATTTTAAAAAATACACATTGCGACGTATATCCTCCCACGAATTTAAAAAAAGAAAAAAAAAAAAAAAAAAGTTAAACTCCTCTTTTTTTTTTGCTATTAAGACACTTCTGAGGAGTACTTAAAGAAAAAAAGGGCTATTCAACTGAATCACACTCAACTCTCCTTGGAAACATACGGAAATACCGTGGTCAATTTTCTTCCTTCTGATTGTGGAGACAACAAGCTTTGACATCCAACTGTAAGTGTCGATCTTTCTCGATGAAAAAAACACCTCATGGCGAGCTCTTTTCATTGTTTCTGGTCTCTTCTAGTTTAATTGTTATGAGTGATATAAAGGTGGAAGTATTTGCCTCATATTGAAGAGCAAAGCAAAAATTGGAAAAGTCAGAGGAGGCATCCTGGCACATAAGGGTTTGTGATAGCATTGAGAGGGAATGTGAATTTGATGGCGGAGCAGGAGGACTCATCGACAAGGAAGACAATTTCGGGGAGTATGGCTGCAACGATAGCAATCAGGATCACCGCTGCTCGTCTTCGCCTGCTTCCACAACCCAGCACAGGCGTTGAGCTAAATATGATTTATGACTTTTTGTGGATTTGTTTTCTTCTTTAGAAAAGGAAACTCAGCCGACAAAATACCACTCTGAGAAACCATTAGAGCAAGGCTAACGTTAAATATTTCAGATGGTTACACTGACTCTTGATCAAAGAGGAATGTAGACAAACACAAGAGCTACGTCGTAGGCAACCTTAAATACTCAGCATCCATATCTTAATGTTTAAATTTTGCGTTTTTAGGCGGTCTCTCTACAAACGCCTTTTACCTTGACTTTCACTATTCAAGTCATGTTCCATAGATAACACTATTACATTTTAAAAGTCAAAAGCTCGATAAAATCGTCTTCTTTCACATTCGTCGTTGAAAAGTCGTCTACTTTCAATCTTTGAAATTTTTTGTTCAATGAGAAAAAATCTAAGTATGAATGAAATAAAAACTTCATATCATGGAAAGTGCGATGCATCAAAATACTTATTCTTTCGCTGCGCTCACTTGTTCATTTTTTTTTTGGTGTATCGCAACCCGTGAATAAAACTCGTTCGTACGCACTTTCCATGGAATAATTTCTATGTATTCGAGATAGTTGGGGGTGAACATGCAAAATCATAATCTTATTCTGACTCTTATTGTTCTCTATTGGACAAGAGCTGCCAGATTTCGGTCCAAAAACACGGTAACTCCATACTCTGAATGGCTACATTGTACATGCGTGGGTGGCCGATTAAAATGCCCAGAATTATTTGGAATCCAGTTCAAACGCACGCAACATTGACGTGTTAGTCATCAATAATGGCGAAATGGTGGATGAAAGCCTCTGAATTGGCTGAAAACCTCAATTAATGTAGGGCCCGACAGATTGACGTAAACCGATCCGCAAATAGGGACTTTAGGGACGACGGCGAGCGGAAGTTTAAAATATTTGCTGGCGCATTTCCGGTAGCCGGTGCGCGAAGTTTTCCACCGTAGCTGTGTTGTCTGCGACGTCAAAACGAAGTGTTTGTCTTTTGTCTAAAAAACGTAAGTAAGTTTTTTTTACTTAAAGGTCATTTCAAATGAACTTATCGTATATTTTCAATATATAATGAAATGTCAACATTTTTCTTGACCGAAGTTTCTTTCTCCTTCTAAACAGCTTCAAAACTTCGTGACTCAAATAGGCTGAAATGGAGACGAGTTCAAATAAGACAGTCCAGTAAGTTGTTCTCAGTTCATATTCGTAATGAGTATTAAAACTAAACTAGGAATTTAATCTAGATGATTTACCCGAGTTTGTTTAAGGAAAAAAATCGCTGGAGCTAAACATTATTGTAGTTTTTCAGATTCAAAGTCAGTGAGCTTGCTGTTAGAGAAAGAAACATACTGCTGAGCGAGAAATTTAAAACAAAGATGAAAGAAGAAGAGAAGGCAAATGGAATTGAATGTCATTTGAGTAGGTTGGAAAAGGGTCTGGAAGAAATAGCCGCAGCTGCAGCTGAAGACACCGTAGAAAACGATAAGAAGAAAACTGACAACGCAAAAGCAGAGGAAATGAGAAACAGAGGCTGTAGAAAACCTGAGCAGAATACAGGAAAGGCAGCGGAATGAAGAGGAGGAAGAAGTGAAACCAAAGCAAAAAAAGCAGTAGAAGTGGAGGTGACGCAATTGCATATTTGCGTGAACAAAATTATCGCGTTCAGAAGTGGAAAGAAGGAGAATTGCCTGTTGTGGAGCAGACTGCATCTTCTACGAGTGTTCTTAAGGTTATTTTTCGCGCCTTACGACGGCGACCTCTCCCCATTCCCCCAAGTTCACGACCTCGCCGTCCTCGGATCTTAAGGCTCTTTTTAGAAAAAACCACGACGGCGACGAAAGCGAGAACGTAGCAAAAAAAAAAAGCTCTAAAGAGCTAAACAATAGCGAAACCCGTGCGTTCTAAAACTTTGTACATTTCCCAGCCGTCCGTCCCATACAGAAAAAAGACGTGAAATCACCAACTGATACCTTCTCTCAACAAGGTTACTTCCACAGCAATTTAGTCACCTTTTTTACTTTGAACTTGTCACCACATTCCCATGTTATGCCGAAGTTAAGATGTCGTACCATCAGAAACGATTAACACATCGAGCTATTGGTGAGAAACTTAGTGGAAAATAAATAACGTTTTTTTCGGCAACATTTTACCACACGTCGCCGTTGTGAAATCTTAAACTCCCGAATAGCCTTTCACCATGCAGTCGCATGATTCTGTCACATTTTCCAAGAACATTACTTCTAACATTGTTAATATGAGCCGAAAGAAAGCTAATGGTGAGAGGGACACTTTGTTAACTGTCCCAGAAAAGTTGAGAACTTTTGACATGAAACGTTAAAATTTCCCGACATTTAAAAGGTTAATTAAATTTTGATCACCGCTGTAAATGTGACGGATTTCAGTTATTTGATGCAAATGTTTAGTTATGAAATACTCTCTGTTAAATTCTGTGTCAACAGAATTGCAATATCTTATCCATTGTTTATTTCGGATGACTTCAAGGTAACGTCTTAAACAGAGCCAATGATCTTAATTGGTTCATTATCGTGTTTTTATACTATTTTTCAAGTATAAAGGTGCATCGATATTACCGGATATACATATAGTTTCAACAACATCTGTTCGCCCGCAAATCTTTCTCGAAGGATTTTCTGAAGCCATAAAACAATGGACATTTTAAGGTTAGTGCAGTGAGATGGTACTCAGTTAAAACCAAAAGTTTGTTACTGAACTACTGGAGAGAAGAGACAACATGCAATTTGTTTCTACTCCGTTGATTGAACAAAACTCATGCGTCATGACCTATTCGATAAGTCACTTTTTTCTACCATCAACACAGCAAAATATATCTGGTGCGCCATGCACACTGTACCTCAGATTCTCATTTCAATCTCGGCCAATTTTTTATATTAGTTATTTAATCTGTCATCGAGATATTCGATCCTGGAGAACAATGGTCCTTTTCTTAATAAGCATTACGTAATCACTTTCGCGTCAAAAGAAGGAAACATTTTAAGACGCTGGTTAAGATCTTGATCGTAACCTGAGGTCGAGTCGCGTTTACACCATAGTACGATCACGTACCTATTCACAATTTTTGCCTTTTTTTCTAAGTAGACTCCGATTGCTGAAAACTAAATTTTAAATGCCTCGGTATAATTATGGAATTAAGATAACCATCTCATTTGTACGTTTTTAAGGTACATCATAAGTGTTCTTCGCTATCTACATGCGATGTTGTTGGCATCTCAGCTCTCTCACACCAACAAGGCGCAGCCAAAAGTAAATTGTCAAAACTTCAAGTTTGTTATCGATGAGCATGTCGTCTATAATCACATTCTTGAGGGTTACGTGTTTCAAAGATTAACAGTCCACAGCGCCACCCAGTGTCACATGAAGTGCAAAGATGACTGCCTGTGTGTATCCATGAATTATTTCCCACTGTCCAAAGAAAATAACTGCGAGCTCAACGATGCTAACAAAGACATGGAGCCAGCGGCGATGAAATGGAGTGAACGAGGAAATTATTATGATTTGATGAGAAGCTACACGGTGAAGGTGGGAGATAGAATCGTTTGTTGTTGATAGAATTGTCTTAGTTTTTCTTCTCACTTACATCTTTATCACAACATAGCACGCGTGCAAGGCCTACCTATATCCTAAGGGAGGTACCGTAATAAAAATCCTTGTTATCTACCTAGACTTTCACTCAACAAACGAGGACTGTAATTGGTTAATTCTTAGTCACATGCCCCTGATAAAATTCAGATGTATCCCGACCGGGATACAATTGCGTAGTTGTTGCCCGCGCGCCGAATACAACAGCATGTTTTTGCCAAATGATTGTCTGATGGAAAGTCTAATTATATAACAAAATACTTAATGTATATTTAGTGCTCGTCATTGCATCCATAACATGAAGTGTGAAGTTTCACTTCGCCTAAAAAATCCCGTCTAGTTTAGCCCCGAGAATTCAAAACTATCACTGAAGATTGTTTTTCCGTTCTATCCCGATTGAGATAGACCTTTGTGGCTCAAAAGGAAAACAAAATATGCTGAATAAGACTCGTTTCGAAAAAAACGATGAGCAAGTAGCTCTTCGAGCGACGTAATTAGTTTCAGAGTTGACAATATTTTATTTACAAACGCGATGAGAATTATGGCTGGAAACAGAACTGAGTTTTCTGACTTCAACTGAGACTTTGCGACGCTGGGGACTCTTCTTTAGAGCGGAAAATATTATTGTGAAGCATTGACATGTACCAAAGTTTTGTTCAATGGAATATTTTGTTTTAGAAATCGTACGATTTTCAGAGTTTTTAGTTCAAAGCTAAGCAATTTTCGGGTAGTAAATTTTAGTAAACAGCGGCATCTCAAGCAGCGTAAATCTACCACACGTATCTCGTAAATGCGAGAAATTTATAGGCTTTTACTTCGTGTTTTGAACGGTTGATATCAGTTCTAAGTGTTGATATATCCTAAAAGTATTGTTAAATAGCAGATTTTAATTTTATTTAAAACCGTACAATTTCAGAATTCTCAAAATCTCTAACAGAAACATGCGCAAATTTCTGGCGTTGAATTCTGGTAAACAACGATTGAAGCGTGTTGAATGCAAGAAATTCGTTCGTTTCTGCTTTTGAGCAGAAAATTTACAATTCTTTGAATAAAGATTTGGTCTCAAAATATTTCTTGGTCATTTTTACCTTGTCATTTATTCATAGTTTTTGGGTAGAAAACGATTACCAAGTTAATCAGACAAAGTTGTAATGAACTCTTTTTTTTCGAGCACAAATTGCATGCTATTTTATAACGAAATTTGTTCACGCTTTAACTATACCTAGAGTTTTGGATGCACTTGGGAGTTTGAAGAGCACTCAAGCAACCCTTACGCTTCTCTCGTGCTCTTAAAACCTAGTTCCCGCGTGCATCCTTAATTTGATATACGCAAGCTAAGACCAATTCTTTTTTGTACGTCCCCCCTCCCATATATTTATTTCCGAATATCTGCACCGCTTGACTTTACCTTAAGCAAGGAATAGTTTTAGGGAAAAAAGGTTCATTTTTAATTAGGGTGGAGGAAGCTACATTCCAGGGATACATCGTTGCGTTAATAGATGCTGCAACCAGAATCCCTGCCTCAACGGGGGGGTATGTCAGGAGATTTGTAACAATCGCAGCCCCGGGTTTAACTGCACCTGTTCTTACAAATACACCGGTAAGCGTTGTGGTCACGCTACACATCCAAGAAACTGCAAAGACATCGCTGACAACGGAGCCTCACAATCAGGAAAATACAATATTTTTGATTCAGCCAATAAACCGTTTTCTGTTTACTGTGACTTGCAGTCAGAACCTGGCTTTGTATGGGCATTGATACAGTCGTTCTCCATCGCCAATAAGGCCACATATAAGAATAAGGGGTTTGGCACGGATTTTCCTGTGAATGACAATAACAATGAACCGGAATGGAACTCTTACCGCCTTTCCTTATCACATATGCAGTCTCTCTCAAATCACTCCACACATCTGAGAGTAACATGCAACTTACCTGCAGATGGCCTGCAGTATACGGACTACGCACGCGCAGTTCTGGCAGGTCATGACATATTCGGTGACTGGGGTGGAGATTGCATACTGTTTGAGTATATTAACATCCGTGGAATTCACTGTTCTGGTTGCACCGCCTACACGAGAATGGATCTTAATGGTGCTTGGTTCGTGAACAGTTTCAAAAGCAAGGAAAACGGATGCGATTTTGATGGGTCACCAGGAGCAGTTGACAACGAAAATAATTTTGGACGGTATCGTTCCGGAGCAATAAATACGAATCACCGCTGCTCCTCTTCGGATCCTTCTACAACGCAATACTGGTTTGGGGTTAAACATGAATAGTTTGTTCTAAGTTCCAATAATCTGCTAAAGCTAGAATGAGTTCTGAGTAATAGATAAGGTTTTTTTTTCTTTTCTTTAAGGATTCTGTCTTTTATTGGTTGTGATTGCTTTTTGATTTGTTTTATTTTTATCAACATAGGCCTTTGGTTTCTCGGAAACCTTTTTTTTGAAATCGAAGAAATTGATTTTGAGTCTCGTTACAGCCGCTTCCTATAAGATGTTTGATTGTATGACGTTGATAGAACGATTTTTCAACGAGTATTGTCAAACCGAAACAATATAGACAGCTAATCAGAACAAAATATGATATCACAGGAACTATTTAGAAATCAAAGAGAAACAAGCAAACCGTTGTAATCTGAGATTGTTTTTAGCTATGCATTGCTTAGGTAGGAGATTAGCCCGAATTCTCTATACCAAAATGCAAAGCTAATGCAATCTTAGCTCCTTTGAAAAAACAGGAACAACATTGCTCTGTAGTAGTAGTTTAGTAATGATTCATGGCTTGTATGCGTAAGCTATCATACGAATATGTTCAAATACGCCTTACGAACCTTTATATAAACTTATATCTGTAACATACACATGCAATTGATATAACATGATCCTAAATGACTGAATTGCATAGTTGCACTAAGTTTGTTTGTAGACAACTTGATAACTATAGGAAGGGGCAGCATCACATTTCATTTAATCGCCTGAATGCTGTTTCATCAATTTACGTACTCTCAGATACTAGTTTGATATTTGTATTGAGGGCGAAAGAGACATCTGCAGTTAAATGACTCGAAAACCGATCTCTTCTCCAGGCTTGTAAATACATCTCAGGAGTCAGCAGGATGATAGAAGTCCACTTTCATATTTTTGCACAAAGAAATATTTACATCTTTGGAGTCGAAAACGGCTCACTTTGTATCTGTTGTTTAGAGGACGAGTCCACCATGTACCTGGTCGAAGGATTTGAAAAGAGGTTTAATCATAAAAATGCTCTCTCTTTCTCGCCAACCGGCTTCAGTCAAAATTGTCATTTAAGAAAGCTCCCTTTCGAGACAGATCTTACCACAAACATACATGTCTCACACATCCAAACCGTTGCGATTCGTCAACGGTCATTGACGAATCGTCACACTGGAAGTCGAATCGTGCCTTAACATACCCGAAGTCGAGGGGCGCGCATGTAAGCAATGAGTGAAAATGAGTGGCATGTTACGAGAACGTGACAACATGAACCTTCCACGTTCTTAAAGCGTGAGACGACCGGAAGTCTATCGTCAGAATATTTGCCCCCGCAGGGTTTTTGGCCCCAGAGGGCCGAAAACCCGAGGAGGCACCTTAGACTCCCCGCGTAATATAGAGGAAGACTGGAGAAGAGGGAATGTGGGTATTTTCGGTAGGTCATAACCAGAAAAAATCTCGATTTGATCGCTTGCACGGCCGCAAGGTATCAACGTTTTTCCCGCAAATGGTCATGGGCTGCCAGTAAAAAGACACGCGCACGAGGACTTTTAGGATCGGCGTCTTTGACACGAGATTTGTCCTAGTATAGAGGAAGACTGGAGAAGAGTGAATGTAGGTGTTTTCGGTTGATCGTAACCAAAAAAAAATCTCGAATTGATCGCTTGCACGGCCGCAAGGTATCAACGTTTTTCTCGCAAATGGTCATAACTACACAACTGTAAACAACAAGCCCAACTCAAAAAAAAAAAAAAGAAAAAAATGGTACTGTAGGACGGGGCAGCTCTAGTGAGAACTATAACTAGTATAAACTATACAGTGTAGCAAATGTTGACGATTCGACACGATTCGACTCAAATCGAACGACTCGTCACAGCAAATGACAATCCGTCATACCGGATGCAAATTACATCCAGTATGACGGGTCGTCATTTGTGGTGACGAGTCGTTCGAATCAAGTTGAATCGTGTCGATTTGACAACATCGACAACCCCCCTTCACAGACACTTGCGGAATATTTTCTAAGTCTCTTACAAATTGACTTCCGGTATGCGTTTCCAAGTGTCTTGCAAATCGACATCCGGTATGACGGGTCGTTCGATTCGAGTCGATTCGACAACATCTTCAACCCCCTATCGCAGGCACTTGCGGAATATTTTCTAAGTCTCTTACAAAATGACTTCCGGTATGCGTTTCCATGTTTTAAGAGATGGTTTCTCAGAACTCCGGTATCACAACACCACTTAGCCGCGAATCGATTTCCGGTTTGACGATTCGCAGCGGTTTGGGTGTATTGGACAACCCTCCTCAGTTAATAAATGATTCAGAAATTTTTACTCTCCTATTGTGGGTCTGTTCGTTTTGTTTTTGTCAAAGCTTGAAGTTATAGGAAGTTATTTTATTATTTCTTTAGTATTTTTTTAGGATGAATATATCTTATTAGACGTTTTGGTTTGTAGCTGAGTATTTTTACGAGTTGTGCCGTATTTTGATGCACAAACAACCTCACGGACGATCATTTCAAGGCCCAGCTGTGAGTGTTCGTGTGGGGTGAATGACTACAGGAAGAAAAAAAACAACAACTTAACATCAACAATAATGCCTGGAGAAATAGTAAAATTGCTTCGGGTTATATTCTATTTCGATGTTCTTATTACTTCCAGTGTTGATGACTAGTAGACTCTCCAAATGTGAAGTCTGACCTAAGTCTCTCATACTCTAGTTGACGCTTTTAAACTGTGAATGGATGGCGTGCGGTCTTGGAAAAGAAAGTAAAGAAGTATCAATGATGACAAGTGTCCCATATTATCATCTTTGTTCTTTATTAGCACATCTTTCTGGAAAAGAGTCAGAGTTTGAGAACGACTTTGTGATATCTTACCATTTTTTCATGCATTTTTCTAAATTTATGAGTGAAACTTTATACGTCGTTGGGCGATTGAAACTCTTAGTGAAATATCAATAGCAAACTGGGTTGATTAAAACAAGTTGGAAAAATAATAACCTAACCAGACCAATTATTCGTTCCAGTTTGAAAACATGGATAAGTTGAGCGAGTAACGAACGTAAAACTTTCCATCTCTTATCAATTACAACGTGGCGCTGATAAAAAAAGAAAAATAGCCTTCGGTGCCCATTTCCACATGCAAACTTAGAAGGTTCTGGGCGTTGACTCATCTTCTGAGCAGCAGTTGACTGATGCAATAATCACGCTAATGTAGAACTTAAATAACTGCGACAATCTTGATAAGTCAATTTAACCTTGACTGGAATATATTCGAAACACCTGATTGTAAAGAAGTCTCACCTATCGGTGCTACTACGGCCCACAGGCTATCGATTTTCATTCACACCGCAGATATTTGCTTTTGATTTTGTACACAGAATCGTCACAGTGACTTTCAAAACATGGATAAAAATTATTACGGACTGTAAAAATGTTTACTTAATACTAAATACAAAAAGAATAAAAAATAAAATAAAAAAAGGCTAAAAAATACTATATGTGCATATTAAAATTCGCATCACACATGATAAAGCCATTAGGAAATAGCCGCGTTGTGCATGATAAAACTATTCTTCAGTCTATTTGTTCTGCAAAAAGTACGTTAAAAGCGCGCTTTCTCCTTAAGGTTACGGTAGTAAGATAACATGACGGCAAAAGGTCATGTAATTTGTGACAGGTGTTGTCTTTGATCTCACTGAAAAGGCGCTCCGTCAGCAATTGGCGCCGTTGGTAGAGGGTGGCAATATTGCACTCTTTAAGAGCTTCTTGGTAGCTTAAGACTGGGAAAATTATTGCACGGCGCTGAATATTCTCTAGCTCTTCAGAGAGATACTCAGGTAGACCATTGTGGAAAACTTGGCAAGCATATTCAGACACGGGCCGGATACACGCAGGATATCCTTTTGCACGCTATCTAATAAAATGCTAATGAAACACTTTAAGAGCTTTCATTAATATTCTCCATCCTATACTCCTACGGTAAATAATAAAATGCGACCCTCTTCAAATATTAAAGTGTGAATAACACATTCCAAATCATTCTTTGAGTTGATTCTGTTGAGTGCAGAGACTCATAAGTGCGGTTGCTGAAGGAGGATCTCTAACAATTGATACTGGGTAGAGTTTCTCTTGTTTTGGTTTTGTAACACATAACGTTTTGAGATCTCCCTTATTTTCAAAACGCTACTTTCGTTATTAAGGACACAAAGGAAACTCTTGAAAGTTTTACGTTTCAAGTAACACTCCTCAAAGTTGATACATGAACGTCAGTTTTTGATAAAGTTCATCGCAGTGGCTGTTTCACTGAGATTTGATATACTTCGATATTTAGCTTTGCATTTAAGTAACTGCAACTGATATACTTTTAATCAGCAATTACCCGATTCGTTTACGTTTTATATCAGTTCCATTTGCCGATATATCTCCCTCCATTGAAACCTGGGCAATGAAGAGAAATCAGCTTTACATTTGAGCTAACAATCAATTATTTGTAAACTGTGTTCAGCTTGGGCTAAACTGCAGGGTACGTCAGTTACGCTGGGCTCCTTCTGTAGAGCATTCCTAACAGAAACTGTCGAGGAGCAATTTCGTTTGGGCTTGAATGTTTGCCCAATCTTCTTTTCGAAATTCCGCAAATAAGTGATTCTGTAGAGAAGAGCGACTTCACAGCGAGATGAACACACTCCTCACTGTCTTCCAAAACGTTTACTGACTCAGAAGGTCTCAACATGGTGATGGCTCTTACGGCCAATGACTAAAATTTGGCAATTTTTCTCTTTCCGTTGCAATTGGAAAAAAATGTTACGGTTAGTGCTTTAAGGAAAACAACTTCCTTGATAATTTAAAAAAATGCATCAATGCATTTTCCACAAATGAGCAAATGTTCCATCTCAAGAAATTTTATGAATGGAGGTCGCTTTAAGGTAAGAGACCCAAACATCTACTCATTTCGTTTCAAATTACCCAATGCTTATCTGATGAAAGAATCATGTATCTCTTTTTATTCACATTAATATAGTGCCATTACTATGGGCATCTT